TAAAATTCAGCACAATTGAGTAAAGTCGTGGAACTTCTTGATTTCGAGATTGACTGATCAACTTTTGATGAACGATGTAGATGGCTTTCTTTTTTCTTAAAGGCATCTGGGCAGTCTGAATACCTTCTTACCGAGGATAAGAACATTCTTCGGCGATGGAGGGAGTACTTTGAGGAACTCCTTAACCCCGCGCAGCTGCTGGAAGACTCGCCTGTAGAGCAGAAGGGTACGGATATTACTGTCTCTGTAGGTGAAATTACACGAGCTGTGAAAAGCTTGAAAAACGGAAAGGCTGCTGGAATCGATGAAATCCGCCCTGAAAGCTCAGAGCAATAGTTGAACAAGGCATGTGCTGCCTTACACGTGTCTATTAAATTGCAGTGACTACGAGGAAGACATAAGCGAACTGGAGAACAGGTGTTGTTGTTCCTTTGTTCAAGAACGGAGACCACAAGAAATGCTCCAATTATAGAAGCATTATGTTATTGAGCTTCCCACGTAATGTCTACGCAAAGGTGCTAGAAAGGAGGCGCCGTAGAACAGCTGACTCAAAAATTCAAGAAGAGCAGTGTTGCTTCCGTAGTCGAAGTACCTCTTATCATATTTTTACCCTACGACCGACTGTTGAGAAATCATTGGAGTTCGCCCATCCAGTGTACATTTGCCGGAACTTAGAGACTGTTAACTCAGAGAAAGCCTATGACCGGATTCCGCGCAACAGTCTAAGGGCATGTGAGATCGATGGCCCAGCTGCTACGGGCCATCCAGTCACTGTATTCTGATGGCAGGTGCTGCGTCAGAGTAAATAGCGTTAAATCGAAACTCTTCAACATTGGCACTGGTCTTTGCCAAGGCTGCTTCCTGTCTCCTAGCCTATTTGTGTTGTACATGGATAGAATAGTCGGGAGCTGCCAAGGCGAAGAGTGTTTTGGTGTAGGAGATGTGAAGACGAAAAGGTTGCTGTTTGCAGACGACCTTGTTTTATTAGCTTCTACTGAAGCTAGTCTATGGTGGTCCCTGGAAAGGTTTGCAGCCGAGTGCTACGTGAGCGGCATGCGTGTGAGCGCATCTAAAACGAAAAGACTAGTGCTTTCTCCTTCTCCTGTCCGTTTCTCTCTACATATTAATGGAGAGGCAATGGATCAGTTTGAGAAGTTCATGTACCCCGGAATCGCCCGGAATCGTATTTACTCGTGATGGAAAATATGAGGACGAGATGGA